TTTAAAGTGAATTGGTTAAATTTTTAAAAATTTTGTTAGAGTTCTACTTACATGTCAATACATTCCCCCCCATGCTTTTTTTTCTATCAGCATAATTTCTTAAGAATTGAAACAAATCTTCTTCGTTTGTGTCCTCATCAATTGTTAAATCAATTTCTGTACCATTTGAAAAACCTGTTTTTAGTTCCTCTATATCATAATATTCCAAAATTCTGAAAATATGTAACAACATATGCAAAAATTTAAAATAAATTTAAAATAAATTTATATATATATATATATATATATATATATATATATATATATATATATATATATATATATATATATATATATATATATATATATATATATATCAGGAAGGCTTCCTGATGAACCTACTGATGGTGAAACATGCTGTTGAAGAGCACAAAAGTTAGATAAGTGTTTTTACTAAATTATTATTGCTCTGTTCATTAAGAACATTCAAATGGATTCGCCCTGAATCCAGCAAAAGTGCTGGATTCAGGGCGAGTCCAGCACTTTTTTGTATTTGAAATAACTAACTTCCAGACATGAAACAAACTCCAAACATTTATGTTTATAATTATGTCAAATAAGAATACTTTGCAAAAAATTGTGATGATTTGGAGCCTAGGATCAAAAAAGCCTCAAATATATGGCCACAACTGCTCTTAACACCAGAACAACATCAATAATAATTGACATCATCAGGTATAAAAAATTAGTTAGAATTTTAGTATATAAATAATTTTTTTTCAGCTTTAACATTAAAATTTTTTAGCATTAACATTAAATTTTTTAAGCTTAAACATTAAAATTTTGGCTACATATTCTTAAAAATTGCATCAAAAAAGTGATTTGTTTATTTCTTAACAAGTATTGGTAAATAAATTAAATTTTATTTCGTATCCATTGAATTTCGTATCCATTGAATTTTGTATCCATTGAATTTTAAACAACTGATCTAATAGTGCATAAAGTCCAAAAAAAAATTCTGAAAAAAAAATTCTATAAATTGAGCAAATTAAAATAATAGACTACTAAAAAATAAAAATTTTCCTAGAAAAAATATATAGTTTTTCAGCAAATGACTTTAAGAAAATCAACATTTATCCATCAACATTTGTCTTTCCATTAACACGAAGCTTTGTAGTATATTTAAAAAATCAAGAAAAATCCTGTTAGATCTAAAAATAATTTCTTTCTTTTCTGTTAAAGTAACATGATCTGATTGAAACCATTACTAGTATGGGAGGGAGAAGATGAAAATGCAATTTTTATAAATGTGAAAAAAAAAAAACTGTTTTGACTAGATTTAAATGTTTATAAAGATCACAACATCACATTGCTTAAACAATCAGAACGCATTAGAGAAAAAGTTCAAACAATCAGAATGTATTAGAGAAAAAGTTCAAACAATCAGAATGTATTAGAGAAAAAGTTCAAACAATCAGAATGTATTAGAGAAAAAGAATTTAGAGGTAAAGTTAAAAAAAACCTTTTTTAATCTGAAAACAAACGAATCTTTAATTAAAGATGTTAAAATGGTGTTATGGTGCTTTAAAATATATTAAAAGCTGCAACGTATTGCAACATATTGCAGTGTATTGCTATATATTAAAAACAAATTTGCATCTACTACACAAAATGAAAGTGGACTTCTGGACTAAAATGCAATAGAACATTTGTCGTATATTTTGGATGAAAAACCTTGTGGTGTATTATAGACTAAGTATTTAGAAACAAATAACTTAAAAAAACTATAATAGAAAAACAGAAGAGATCTCCAAAATTTAGTCAACTCAATGCTAAACTGTCTAGCAAATGCGATCACTTTTCAATATATATATATATATATATATATATATATATATATATATATATATATATATATATATATATATATATATATATATATATTATATATATATATATATATATATATATATATATATATATATATATATATATATATATATATATATATATATATATTAGAGTGCCACTAAAAATAAATTTTTATGAAATTGTCTGCTGTTACCCCCTAAATGTGTTTTATGTAATAAATTAACACTAAATTAAAAAAATTTTTGAATAAAAAAACATTTTAGGGGTCGCTCAACACCTTAAACATTAAACTGGTCCCTAATATTTTGAAAAATAAAGTTCTTCAAAAGTATATCATGTTGGGTCTCAAAAGAAGTGAAATTTTATAACTTTTAATTTTCAAAATAATAAAAACAATTTATGGAAACACAAATTTAAAAAGTTTGTTTAAAAAAAAAACTTTGAAAATATGTACTTTTAATTTTTTGTCAAAAAATTACAGTTTTTAGGCCATAAAATTTCGACTAGTAATATTTATATAAAATTATTATTATTTTTAAAACTTTTATAAAATTTCACTTCTTTTGAGACCCAACATGATATACTTTTTAAAAACTCTTTTTTTTTTAATATTAGGGAATCGTTTGATGTTTAAGGGTTGAGCAACCCCTAAACATCAATCTTTTTTTTAATTAAAATTTTTTTTAATTTAGTGTTAATTTATTACATAGAACACATTTAGGGGGTGGCAATTTCAAAAAAAGTTGTTTTTAGTGGCACTCTAATATATATATATATATATATATATATATATATATATATATATATATATATATATATATATATATATATATATATATATATATATATATATATATATATATATATATATACACACACACATATATATATATACATGTGTTTCAATTCTCTTTAATGTGCTGAAAGGTTTTTTTGTAGTTTGCCACGCTAATTGGCAATAGCAATAGCATAAGTACTGTGATTATGTCAGTGAATGTACAACTTTTTATTTCCAACATCTTTGCTTCAAACAAGGCTGCAAGCAACCACTTAGAGCAGTAAGTTACTGGAAGAGAAAAGATGAAGTTTATAGAGCAAGATAACAATTGACAGATGACAAATATTGCAAATTACATGAACCAGAAAAACAAGATAAAAGAAGGAAATTCCTAAGAACTGATATTCGATTAAAAAAACTAGAGGAATAACAATTTTTAGGGCACTTACAAAAAGTCACAGTAAAAGGATGAGACTTTATAAAATGACTAGTATTACAAGAATGAAGTTTAGTAGATGGCACAAGAGACGCTAGCTCTTTAGAGGAGTGCCCCTTATAGTATTTGTAGAAAAGAGAAGCATTATTACAACTGTTATTATTGGCTGCAAGAGCAGGTACAACTATGTTTACAATGCGTTTTTCCAACTTGACTAAAAGAGAGAGGGCATCATTAGAAGATTCACCCCAGATATGACAATAGTATTCGATACAAAGGCTGATTTGAGATTTATAGAGATAAAGAATAGAATCCATTGTAAGAAAGTGTCAAGCACGATAAAGAGATGCAACCTTAGCAGATGTTAATTTTGCAATGGATTTGATATACGGTTTTTAAGAAAGATCTGAAGTAAGAGTTCATCCTAGAAGATAAAGGTAGATGAATTATTAAGTACATTACCGCTCATAAATATAGGAAGATCTAAATTATGGTGGTAATGATTGGCTGGAAAAAATTGGGTTTTATCTGATTAAAGCTCACCAGTCACTGTGAGCCCCATGCTGCAAAAGAAGTGAAATCCTTTTCAAGTTCAAATGCCCCCTCCAAGCAATCAAAGAGTGTTGGCTTCTTATCATGACAAGAATAAATGGTAGTATTAGCAGCGAACAATACCACCATAGATGTGAGAATATCTGGAAGATCGTTAATGTATATTAAAAAGAGTATAGGGCAAAGGATAGAACCTTGAGGAACTCCTGAATTTACAGGATATGAAGAAGAGTGCCGTCCACTAAGAGGAAAAAACTGATATTAAGAAAATTCACAATTTTAGGCTGTGTTTATTTTAATTAGGTAAACAATGATTCTTAAAATTCTTATAATATCTTTTCTGATTAAGTCAAGGTGAGAACTTGATTTATTGTGCATTAATATTAAACTGTCATCGCAATACAGACCTAATTTAATAATTTGTATTACTTTAGTTAGGGAATTTAAAAATCTCAACTTACAAACTCACTAATTTCTGCACCATCATAACTCCATCATACAACTTTACTGTTTTAATTGGGTGCAATAAATCATTATTAAAATTTTGTTGTCTAGTAATAAATGGTGAGGGATTTTTTGTTTTGAAACCAAAATTCCTGTTTTGCAATTTGCAAAATAATAAATGTAATTTTTTGTGAAAATTTTTTTTGAAATTTAGATTTGAGAAATTTAGAAAGTGTTAGTGAAAAATAGATAAGTGCTTTTTTACAATATATATATATATATATATATATATATATATATATATATATATATATATATATATATATATATATATATATATATATATATATATATATATATATATAACGCATTCATATATATATATAAAGCATTCACCAATGCCAACCTAACTGCCGACCTGAAAGTACTTGCCGACCTTGTTTCTATGTTTTATGGTCAGACCTTTGTATTAAATAATTTTTGCCGACCTGATGCCAACTTCAAAAAGATTGAGGTTGGCAAATTATTGCCGACCTCATTTTTGTGGATTATATATATATATATATATATATATATATATATATATATATATATATATATATATATATATATATATATATATATATATATATATATCCTTATAGTGTATATATAAATATATATATATCCTTATAGTGTATATATAAATATATATATATCCTTATAGTGTAGTCAAAAGAGACTTTTATGGTAAAAAAAAGTCTCTTTCGACTACAATTTTTTTACAATTTTTTTACCTTTTTCAGCTGCATTTTATTGTCATCGAAATGTCAAAGCAATTAAATTAATGCGGAATACATTAAATTTTATTGTTTTTTAAAAAAACTGCAACAATAATGACTAGAAAGTTTTTTTTAATTAGTGGTGTTTTTGTTTTTATTTTATTAAAAAACATTTTTAAATCTTATAGCCTGCTGCTACAAGGGAGTGTTGCTACATCGACTATCTTATAGCCTGGCTCGCAACATCGACTGACAAATAGCCTGACTAGCAAAGGAGTGCTGCTACATCGACTGACAAATAGACTGACTCACAAGGGAGTGCTGCTACATCGACTGAGGGTTTGGTTTGGGCAGGCAGTCTATCATTAAAAAAAATTTTTTTTTTAAGTTTTTCAATATTTTCTGGTCAAGCTTATTAACGCGCTCTTCAAAACAACAGTTTATGGGAAAAACTATGTGACTACCATGCAAGACTATATATATATATATATATATATATATATATATATATATATATATATATATATATATATATATATATATATATATATATATATATATATATATATATATATATACACATATATATATATATCCAGTGTAATTGTATTAATAATTTTAAAAATATACATACTTATAAATATCTTCAACTTTTCGAGGTGAATCAGAAATGTCTTGAGGTAGAGGGGCAGGACTCATATCAGATGCTAGAGGTTGACCTTTAAATAAAATAAATTTTTTACACTATTGCTATATTTACATTATTAAAACTATGATTAATTACTAAAGCATATGATTAATTAAAATATGACATTCATGTGTAAATATATTTCATTTAATGTTTTATTATAATGTAACATTAAATGGCATATTTTACATTTAATGTTATGTTTATTCAACTTTTTTACATGATTAAAGTAGGCTATAGTTGTTTATAGTTAGTGGATTTTAGTTTTAAAAATTTTAATAAACAAAACATATTATTACTTAGAGCTCTGTGTCACTAAATTTTAAACAAAAAATAAAGTAAAATTAAAAACCAAGAACACACAAACTTCCAAAGAAAATATCATCTATAAAAACTAAACAATGAAAATAACAATCAAAAAATTGCAAGGCATAAATAAAAGAAAAATAAAACAAAATGATGGATAAATAAATAATGAAATTTTAAAAAATAAAAATGAGTTGTTTTATTAAGACACCTTCTCTACCCTTTACCAAACAAAGAACCCTAAGGCAGGAATTTTTTTTTTTATTTCTCCTTTGCTTAAAAAAACAAATCCTACAAGGCAGGACTTTTTTAGACAGCAGGACATGGGACAGGTAGTGCTGGGTTTCATGTTACCATTATTTAACAGAAGTTTAACAGGAGTATTTAACAGTAAGTTATTTCTGTGAGCAGTACTTTAAAACATTAAATGGAAGATTTTGAAAATGCATTAGGAAAAATATTACATCTAAAGAAAATCTGAAAATTAAGATGAATGTATGTAATATAATTGTAGTTGTTGGTAACTTAGCAATGCACCAGAGATTTAAACAGAACTTAAAAATAGATACAGATAACTTACAGGTGAGCTAACACCTTGAAAGAGGTTCAGAAGAAGCATAAACATACATATAGTATCTTACAGGTTAGTGAACACTGAGCAAGAGGTTCAGACAAAACACAAACATACATATATAGTAAAACACGGGTGATACAGTAACAATGACACCTATAAATATAAAAAAAAAATTGATACTATTTTTTTTAGCCATGATAGAAATATAAAATATATTTAGTATTGATAAATATATAGATAGTATTGATAAATCAAACCAAATGTTTTATTAAAAATGTTCAGAAAACATTGATTTGATTAACATTTTATGGAATATTTACATATAGTACAAGAATTTCACTTCTTCTAACTTTTGCTTAGAAAACGAATTCTACAAAGCAGGAGGATATAGAAAGACATTTATATACATAGATTTTCCAAACGAAACATTGACGCATTCTACTTTTAGTAGGAGTTTAATAACATGATTTGCCTAAGGCTGGATTACCAGTATATTTATATAGAATATTTATATTTTATATAAATATGCTATATAATACTCTCCAAACCATTCAAAAAATAACTAGCTCAGGTAATCTTGCACTTGTGAAGTAATTTAAAAATTTGCTATATATGGATATAGCATAAAGAACTCTAAACTTATCAAAAATGATAGCTTCACTACAACTTTAATTGGGATAACTTACGGTTTAACTTTAATGAGAATATTTTCGATAACCTTTTTTATTATTGATGCATGTTTTTAAAAAGTATTTTTAAGGGATGAGTTAAAACACAACAAGCAAAACAACAACAAAGCTGTTAGAAAGATTAAATCAGTGAAGAAGTTTTCTCCTTCTTAGGTTTTCTCAGTGAAAGGCTGCTTGATACTAATGAACCCTCACTGGTGCCTGTAGCACCAATGATGATTTACCTCTACTTCATAAGAAAAAGTAATTTAATGATCAAAAGTAAAATAAACGATCAAACCAATCTCTACAAAAAACATGCAAAGATGACACATATAAAGATGTGAAAAAGAAAAGTCCAATGGCAAATGAAATAAGTTTTAACATGAAACTGTTTGCTTAAATTTGATAGTAATGCCTTGCAAGTTGCGGTCAGCAAGCGCAAAAGATAATCCTACAGATAAAAATAATCCAAAAGATAATCCTACAAATAAAAACAGAACTTGCCAAAATTTTCTTATTTGCCAGTGGCAGTGTACATAGTAAAATGGCTATTTTTGAAAGTATCTATAGTTTATGAGGATATGCTATCATCAAACAATAAAAATATTTTTATTATAACTTATTACTTTAGATTTCAAGTATCAAATACCCTAATTATTTTTTAAAATAAAAAATTTAAAAAAATAGCGTAATGCAATGCACTTTTTTTTTCCCGTTACAGTCTGGTGTATTTGGTATTATACCATTGTATATGTTTATATATGCTTGCTGAAAATTCAACCAAATACTGAAAAAAAATTAGCCGAATAAGCCAAAAACTTAATAATCACCAATAGTGAAATCTCTAGTACTAATAGTGTAGAAAAAAAAATCATGCTAACTTGTAGAGATGATCTAAAATGGAGCATAACCGACATAACTGGTAGATTTCAAAAGTAGGTGTAGGTGGTAGATTTTAAACTCAGAATGTGTTCACTGCCAAAAGCTAAACAACTCTTTATTACCATAATGTTTTGATACCTGATGTTGCTTTTAGACTAATTATGTATGAAGAGACTAATAATTAGTCCGAAACATAACTATCTTTTTCTAAAACATAATTAGTCTTCACTATTTGAGAAAAAGATCACTTTAAAAAAAACTTTACTATTTCATCTGCAAATTTATCAAATGAAGCATGGAATGTAAGCGGCATTGAACTTGATGCTTTTATAGGCCAAATATATCTTTGCAGCTGTATGAATGCAAGAAATCCAAGTGATGAAAAAAAAAAACCAGAGGGGATTCTTTATTAAAATGCAAATAAATCTTAAACAAAATCTGGATAGTAGCTTGCTGTTTTTTTTTATATTTTGGATTTGACCGGCATAAATGGTGGGATCATTTTTAAAAAGTTACACAACAAAAATTTTTTAGACAAAAGTTTTTTTGCGCATTTATTTGAACAGCTAAGAAAAGAAAATATTTTTGACCAAAAATGTGCAATTGCTGACAACAATAGCACCACACTAGCTACAAACAGAAGTACACAATTATCGACACGCTTGAGATGTCAGATCAAAACAGACTGCAAGCGTAATCTGATATCAACAGTTTGTACAAGTTGTATTAAACTTATTTGTGAAAGGTATTAGCCTAATATATGCTAATAGTGCAAATAACCTGAATTATTTGACTAAAATTCTGATGTATACACATGTTTTTTGTATTAGAAACAAAAAGGAATAGAAGCAACTGGCATTTTAAACTGCTGTATCATATCACTTCTGATCTTTCTCTCATGGTAAGTCCAAGTGTTTAAGCTCTATCTTCTGATCTTTCTCTCATGGTAAGTCCAAGTGTTTAAGCTCTATCTTCTGATCTTTCTCTCATGGTAAGTCCAAGTGTTTAAGCTCTATCTTCTGATCTTTCTCTCATGGTAAGTCCAAGTGTTTAAGCTCTATCTTCTGATCATTCTCTCATGATAAGTCCAAGTGTTTAAGCTCTATCTTCTGATCTTTCTCTCATGGTAAGTTCAAGTGTTTAAGCTCTATCTTTGTATGACAGTTTTGATTTTAAAAAAACTTGTTGTTTTTTGTTGAATCAGGCTTGGTCAGAAGCGGTTGCAATCGTACTCTATTCCTGACCATAAAAATTATATATAGTTGTGATGTTGGCCATATCTTTTTAGATGCTTTGAAAATATTCAAATTTATGTATATTTCCATGTATGTCAAAATAATTAAACTTCAACACAATAAAAAAATTAACTTTGTAATTAATCTTTTGTAATCAAATTTTATATCAGCAAAGCATTTTCAAACAAAGAGATAATTTACTTTTTATGATTGTATTTTGTTCATCATATATATATTAATTTTATTGATTGTTTATACACAAAAAAAAATTTAAATTAAACTAAGTTGAGTAGGTTTTAATAAAAATTATATAAACAATTATATATATTAATTTTTTATTATTTAAATATAAGTCTTTTAAAACAATTCGTATGATTGATTTTATAAAAAAAAATAATTACAACAAAAGCTTTTAATAAAATTTAAAAAATAATAATCATCAAAGTTAAAAAAATTAATAATCAAATAAACATACAGAAACTTATATGCGACTGAACATAAACATACATATACACATGGCAAATTAGTTAATTAAGTTACACAAAGCCACAGCCTCATTAAACTTATCATTAGCTGAGTATATGCATCTATACCCAACTCATATGTCGGCCATTTTTGGTAAATGATGAGCTGAGTAACTACGATGACTAAAAACTGTCCAGTAGTTGTTTAAATTTATCAACTGGAATTGCCAGACTTTTCTGGTAATTCCTGATAACCATGCAATAAAATCTGATTTGATATTGAACTCTGGGTGCTATGCTGCAAGGCTTTACGTGCCAATCAATTAGGTTTAAATTGTTGAGAAGCTTATATTGTTGAATAAAATCACCTCTTTTCCGTCTGTCTTCAAGAGTAATTAATTTCATGATTTTACATTAAGTTTTGTAGTCTTTATTTTTTAAAGCCTGAGGAACTTTTGTGGCACTGCATTGTAACTTTTCAATTTTTTTTTGTCATTTTTAAGGTAAGAGTTCCAAGCTTGTATGGCAAACTCCAGATGTGGTCTAATATAGGCAGTATAAATTTTTTTTCCATATTTCAATGTTTCTTGATATGAAGTTGTGTTTAAGAATTACAAGCGTATTATTTGCTTTGTTTGAAGTATATTGCACTGTTGAGCATATTAAAGATTCTCAGAGATTAGAAATCCAAGATCTTTTTTGGATTTTGCGACTTCTAAATCTACTCTATTAGTTGTGCCGCCATTTTTGATTTCATCCATAATATAATCAAACTTTATTGTTCCAGAGTTAACATGCATGACTTAACATTTTTTCACATTTAACTCCATCAGCCAGATTTGCATCCATTTAACAATTTTGTCTAGATCAGATTGTAAACTTGCTCTGTCTTCATCATT